TGGCCCCTCCTTTTTTTTAATATCTAATATTTTTACATGCTGCTAGTGAGAGAACCTGTTGTTAAGATATTTGAATCCCACCACTGGTTGTAGGTAAAATGAAAGAGACGAGACGCAGTGTTGAAGTAAAAATTAAATTAAATCCTTTATTTACTGAGGAAGGTCTGAAAACGATAGCTGATTATAGAATAGTAGAATTATCGTAAAATATATTAATAATTCAACCGTATCCACTTGAAAGTTATAAACGATCAGCAAGGCTATACAAAGACTGGAATTCCACAGAAAGTCTTGGATAGTTCTAGAACGATGGAATGAAATTATCTAAGATCAGAACGAATCTGACTCCGAGTTCGCCAAAACTTCATGCACAATATACGTTCTTCTGTAGCTGACCAATTAGAAAAAGGGCACCGAAATACGGAAACATCTCTTCTCCACGTGGTAATCAAAAGATGTCCCCCAAACAGAAGATCAAGCAGGATACAAGGTAACTATCCCATCAAACGGCAATTACTTGATCGGTCAGCAGCAAAAACTAACACCCCTGACTGAATTTTGCATACGACCTCATCCTTATTTAATACGTTCCAAAATTAAATCTTGAAGAAATTTTTAGATAAGAATTTAAAAAATACATACCATCGTATAGTAAAATATGTAGTAATTGGATATTGAGAAAACTTGTTCAAAGTTGTTGTGTTAATCTGGTAACTATAAGGGTTAAGTTACATTTTCCCTGTAGTCTAATAACTAGACACTAGACAAAAAGTTGATAATTAGATTAATAAAGCTTACAATAATTGTTGATAATAAATATCTTTTTATAACGTACCTCTCTTCCCCATTCTTCTTAATTAGTCGTAATCGAGTCTGCAGTCTAGTGTTATTTTTTATTACAGTTGTTAGGCCTATTGATTTCACCGCTTCACCCTCTTTTGGCGTTTAAAACCGATTTTTACTTTTATATATCAGTGTTTAAAATTACAGAAGATAATTTTCATTCGATATTTTTCCCTTTATAGATTCTACCATTTTAGTTGACAAAAACAAATATTATAATTACAGTATAACCTTTTAAAGTAGGGATAACTATGGAATGAGAAAATATATTTTTAAATTTAAGTAGTTTGAAAATTATAACCTGTTTTATTATTATTTGATTGTTTTCAATAAACCCACGATCAACCGACAGTACCAGCCCTCAACAATTGTTATATTTTTTCTTCACGTACAATCTCACTTAAAATATTGAAAGTCAATCGAAAAATTCCAAGAAAATATAAGCACTATAAGTTAATTCTACAAATATAGCAAAATATGCAGTCCCATTATACATTGAATACTTCTAGACTTTATACTACTTTGACCAAAATAGACATGAATAACTCGATTCTAGTTTTAATTATTGGTAGTTCCTCCAGCAGTGCTATCTTCCCCATTGACGGTAGCCACAGACGTTTTCGTTGACATTTCTGACGATGTGTCAGACTGTGGCTGTGGTTCATTTATGCAACAACATGGGATTTCCTTCTGCATGGCTAACCGGAATTTAGGGTGGGATATGGCGTAGACAATTGGATTGTAAACTGAAGCTGCCTTGCCTGCTAGGGCCGGAAGTGCTGACCTCAAAGGTGTGATCAACATCTGGTCTCCAGCGATTCCAATCATGGCGATAGCTGCATAAGGCGTCCACGAGACAACCCAAAGAAGGACGTTCACCAGCGCCACCTTTGCTATTCTCATCTCAGCACTCGCCTTTTGGGTATCCACGTTAGATCGAAGAGATGCCACATTCATCTTTTTGGCTTGTTCTCGAAGGTGGCGTTCATGGTCACAGACAGCTTTTACGATGAAAATATAGCAGTAAATTATCACCATCAGGGGGAGTGCGTATTCACAAATCCAGCAGCCCATGATGTAAGAAACTGTTGCCCAGTCACGTGTCAAATAGTCAAAGCTACAACTACAAATAAAAACGGGTATTTTAAAGAGTTAATTAAGTAAAAACATTTTCTAAAACAATGTTGTTTCATAACAATTTATATAGAAAATCAATATATATATATATATATATATATAAAATGCAATGGTTTATGATATACAGAAAAATCACTTGCTTTAATAATTTTTGTTGTTTCTTTTATTACTTTTGGGTTGGTGCAGGAAAACTATCTACCTAAAGTATCTTCTCCAATTCACCTCCATATGTTTATTTGTTTGTAATTAAGCACACAGCTACACAATGGGCTATCTATGCTCTGCCCACCACGGGTATCGAAACCCGAATTCTAGCATTGTACCCTCTACATGAATTTATATAATTTACTTATAATAGTATATGTAATTGTTACTTTTTAAATGTTAAGCGAATAGATTTTTTACAAAACTTTCTACTTTTTATTCAAACAATATCAAATTTAATGTGAAGAAACAGTACTTGTATCAATAACCACTTTGATGTTTAAAATATCTCCTTAATATTATTATGATTTAATTAACAACCAAATCATTATCTATTTAAATTTTATTCTGTTTCTATTATTTTCGTTTCATTTGCCATTCAATTACAAATTTTTGGTTGGTAACCAAGTGGCTCAGCGTTAAGTCTCTCGGCTTACAACGCTATAATTCGGATTTCGGTACTCTCATGCTAGGGCAGAGCACAGATTTCTCATTGTGTGGCTTTGTGATTAATAACGAACGAATAAACTAAGTGTCTCTGGGTTATAGTTTTATTTGATTTGAGTTCCAAGTACTTCTTTATACACATAATTTTCTAATTTTGCACGATTCATGGATAATTATAATTATTTACAACACACTAAAACTTTTTAACAATCATATGATAACATGATTTTACACCTATATCAGTGGTTTGAGAGTTAATTCATATAACCCTCTCCACAATAAAACTATAATAACTATAAATTATTTTTTATATAGAAAATTTCAAATGTTATTTTATGTGATATATTATAAGGATTAGAATTTTAATATTACTAGCACGTGTATCTCGAGCTGATTTCTCATTATTTCATTAATCTGACAGTAGCAGATTAAATCATTGCAGCATACCGAAGATAATATTTCTTATTACACATATTACGAATTTGATTTTACCTAAACCAAAATTAATAGATTTAGTTTTCTGAACATTCGAAATGAAATGAACTCTAATTTTGATATAGTTAATCATTTTTTATTAATTATTATTTTATAAAAATCAATATTTCCTGTGATTTGTTTGAATATATTCAAGTTGTATCATCTGCAAAAAAATTGTTTTACTTGTTGACCTTAAGTCATCCATCAAGAAAGGAAATAGGGCTAAAAGCTTTGAAAATAATGCATTTAGGGGCAAGGATGGGCTTGGGTTGAGGTTAAGCAATCGGTTCCAAACACTTGTTAATGGTGAGGGGGGAGCAGGTAAGGGAAACAGATGGGATCACAAGGGTTGATAGTTAAAGGATAGGGAAGTTATATACACCTGGAAAAAAGTTAAGCACCCCCGTGTTTTTTTCAAGTGATTCAGATTCGACGTTCTTGTGACTGATTATAAATTACCATTCAATCTAAACGTGTTTATCAAATGAAATT